GATGTTGATAATGATCTTCTGAGATTGTCTTCTACAGGGTCGATCACCGTATGCTCGGCTCTAACTGCTGTGCAAGGAATTGTAAAAGATTTGTTTATATAAGTTTTTTAATTATATATATAAATAATTAATTGTTTAAAAAAACAAATAATTTTATGATTTGCTTTAGATATTTCTTTTTTAAATTGATTTATTTTTAGAAATATAAATAATTAAACAAAAAAATTTAGTAAGTCTTTATTATTTATATAATTTTATAATATTTTAATAATTATATTATAATATATATCGATCAGAGAAAATGTCCCTTAATTTTGTGTATAACATTATTATGTATAAGATCTGCAATATGATTTTATGCCTTTTTATAAGAAAAAAAGTCAAAATGCAACATTCACCTCTATGTTAACCCAACAATATCATAAGTTACTATCTCTTTGTGTTATAATGTTTATGAATTACTAGATTTTCCTCCTTGTAATAATAAGCTTACTATCCTTAATGGATTTAAAACCAAAAACAATCTTTTAAAGAAAGAAGACGATTTTAATATAATTTCTAAGTTTGAATAATGATAACGATAACAATTCTGTAAGTGATGAAGAACTTAAGAAAAAAATATAAGTAAAGCAACAATATTTGAAGCGATTCTTATTCAAAACAAATTTGCTATAAATTGATTTATACAATGCATCTATTGCGTTTTTGCACTTATTATATGCTTTGCATTTTTTAAACTTTAGCAAGTTTTATATATAAAACTTTTAATCTTATTGTTATGTTAACGTTAATATTAGGATTTAGATAATATTTAAGGAAGAGTTTTTGGATACATAAAACATTTTTATTTATAGCATCACATACCAATTAACTAGCTAGTTTTGGAGTAATATCTATATAAGTGTGAAAATTCTTAGATGTATTCTAATAAATCATTTTTAACATCTAGTATAATTAACAAATGTATGAACAAGCACAATAATCTGGTCTGGTTATACCGATATTTGAATATACCAACATTTGGTTATATCAACATGTTTTATAATACAGTAAATTATATTAGCAATTCATATTAAAATTTTAACAAATTGTTAATATAGAAAGATGTCATTGTATCTGTTGTTAGTATAGCCAAAGCAATGTGTATAAACATAGTTTTAAGTTTTGAAAAGTTATTAGTAACAAGTAAAGATTAAAAAAATAACAATGTAATTTAGCAATTGCAAAAAGAAACTACAACAAACTGTTATAATCAATTTGACTTTTAGCTCATAGTTAAAAAATTTTTATGATTACTTACATAATATCTTTATTTTTATAAATCTTATAGCCCAAGATAAAAAATTAAGTGAAAATATTCTTATATCCCAAGATAAAAAATTAAGTGAAGATATTTTAACTTTTAATAACTTTGAAATAAATGACAAGGTATTCGATATTAAGGATTCCGAAAGTGATTATGACATTTTTGATGATAATACAAGTTTTATAACTGTTACAGAAAGTCTTTCATCTAAAGGTGCAACAGTTAATGAAAGCATTGAAATACAACCATTTATCTGGGATGAAGTGGCTTTTAAACATGCTCAAATATTGGCTAATGAAAAAGAAAACAATAAAGATTATGAAATTGAATAGGAAGATCTAGAACATGAACCTTCAGAAACAGCATCATTTGTAACAGAATCAACAGAAAGTGAAGGCCTAGATTATTTTCTAGATAATTTGAAAAAAACAAAATATTAACTTCTTGTGTTCTTTTACATGTAATTGATGGTCAAGTAAAATGATGTTCTAAATTTAAGCAAAAAACACAATGACCTTTAGCACAGTTGCTTGGTACTTGGGAAATTGATAGTGATGCATTTGAGTTAGTAAAAAAGGATAATAAACTATATACTTTAGGAGTGTGGAGATTATATTTTACTTTTGATCAAACTGAACTTCATAATGCAAAGCTTAAGAGTATCCAATCCATTAAAAAAAGCTGTATAAATTATCATCGATGCTTATTTTGTAGTAAGAATAAGTATTTTTTTAGTCGTGGGAGAAGTTGTCTTCAACACTCTACATGTATAATAGAACGAATTGTACAAGCACCTTGCATGGGTCTTAAAACTTGTCCAGCAATTGAAAATTATAGCAATATTAATTATAATAAGAAATACCAACCTCGATATATCTGTAATCAGTGTTTTAACTTACAAGGTGGTCATTTTTTTCAATGTCTAGGCATTAATAAGAAACCTGAACTATGTAATAATAAGCACGATGATAATACAACACAAATGCTTGAACTATTAGGACAATTTATTTTAAATATAGCAGCATCGAATAAAACTAAACAAAAAAAGGAATTGTTAACATATCTTAGCTCAATGCTGCCTTTTTTTGATAAAACCAAATTATATATAAAAAATCCACTAAGTCTTCTATTTGTAAAGGCAGCTCTATGACTTGGACATATTAATATTACCAAAATAATGGAAAATGATTCTGATCTTAAAACCGAAATATCAAAAAAAAATGATGAAATGATAGGAATTGCAGTATGGAAATTCTGACATGAAATTCGCCAAGATAAAGAGGCTCTTGAAAAACCAAGTTCTTTAGCCGAATATCAAGCTGCTTTTCCACTATGTATTTTAAATTTTTTTAATGGATTAATTACCAAGTTACAAACAAAAAAACATAATATTGTTAATAAAAAAAGAAGATAGCAAGGATTAGAATTGAAGGTTTTTGATGAAACTCAAGTAAATAAAATGGCAATATTTTTTGTTTCAGTAATTCTTTTTATTGCTTTTCCTGCAACTGACATTTGGCTCACGCATGTAATGAGTTCATTAGTATGTAAATCTAAATTATTAACTTCACTATATAGTATTTTATGTACAGCGGGCATAGTATCTCATACACAACGATATAAAAGAAAATTAGAACAATGTAGAATGATTAAAACAAATCCAATTTAAAGACTTGTAAAAGGTAAAAATATTTGGAATGTATCTGTTATTGATAATATAGATTTCAAAGAAAGTTCATTCAAGTATAGAAATATTTTTGATGATACTAGAAGTACTTTGCATGCTACTCTACATGTAGTTTTTTAATTTACATTACCAGTATCACTTAAATCTCTTAGAGATATTACTATGAATGAATGAATTAGCAATAACATTGCTTACAATAATGATAATAATAATAATAATAATAATGATAATAATATTGATTGTACTTTATTTAGTAAATCGAGCTTTATAAAAGATTAGTATTATAAACATGAAATTATTTTTAGTAAACTTATAGAACAATACTCAGATAATTAGGATATTAATAATATTTATGAAGAACTTATAAAAGATGTACCTTTAGGATGTCAGGTTCTAGACACGAATTTTGTAATTCTTACACTAGGCGAACAGCCAAACTGTGATCAAAATGTTCATAATTTATGCGAAATATATTTTAAAGATTTTCAATTATCAGAAAATGAACACTTAGATGCTGCATGTGATGAAGCAATTTTTCGTAGATTAATATCATATTGTGAATCAAAAAAAAATAAATCTGTGCAATTGCTTTTAGGACAATGGCATATATCGAAAGCTATGTATGCAACTATAATTACTATTTTTTTAGGATATGGAATTTTTAACTTGGCAGCAGAATTAGGAGTTAAATATTTAAACAAATTGGAAAAAGTTGTTGATTACGATGCTACATTTCATGTTTTAGAATTGATTTGGATAGCTGTAGGAATTGCTTTAAAAAAATATTTAAAAAATAGAAATTACAATAAAATGATATATGATATTGAAAAAGAAAATAATGTTGTAAAAGTTTGAATTTTGTATTTTCGTTGGATGGAACTTGTAATTAGTTATAAAATAGAAATAAAACGAGGCAATTATGACTTACAGTTTCATTCATTTTCAGCATTTTCACCTCTTTTTATAGCTACTGGTAGAAGTAAATATGCACAATCAACAACACATTTTTTAGCTCAAGTTTCTGAAGATCCTTTTTTACAAAGATTGCTTCATTATGCATGCTTAGTAAATCTAACTTATCTAGGCCATTATTTAGCTCTTGATGAAGCCATAGAAGTTTATAGAGTAAAATGTGTTAAGCAAAATATAAAACCAAATATAATGAATAATGAAAAACTTAAATTACAAATATTATCTGTTCAACCTGAAATAGATAGAGTAAAAATACTTATATCTGATTATATGGAAGATATAATTGTAATTAATAAAGATTGCAATATACAACTCCGAGATGAAGCAATAAAATTGGAATTGAATAAATTTCTGAACATAATATTCAAATCAAATTTAACTGTTCTATTTCTTCATATTCTGACT